AAATACAGGCTGTCCGTTTAGTACTTTTGCCTTAGGAATTTTAGGATTTTCTACCCAATTACACAAAATATTGGGAGGGGTAGATGCAAATACTATAATATTAGCACACACATTGTGATTCACAAAGCCTGAAAAAAATTGCGGTGTTTGAGACTGTGTCTATATTTAGTACGTTTGAAAGGTAGGTGCTAATCGACACAGCCTTCGTGCGCAGATGGCTGCAGTTAATGTAGTGAAGAGGAGACGAAATGGAAGTAGACAGACCCCCAACTGTTTTATTTGCCGATGTTTTATCATGAGCTATTTTTTCTTTTGTTCTTCTTCTTATGTCCTACTATCTTCTCTTTATTTCATTTGTTTGCTTCTTCCACTAATGCCTTCAATTCCATGGCATTAAATTTCGCTTTGCACCTGTGGTCCCTCTGCTCTCTGTAATGATCCATGGCGGAAACCAGAAACTCAAGCAAAACACTCAAATACTACCGTTCCTACCATGTTTGCCCCTGATAAAATTTATGCAGTTATTTTTAGTAGATCACCCGCATTGTGAAACAGTTGGAAGACTTACTTTGAATATTTCCCCCATATAATATTCAATATGATCCAAGGTACTGGCGTTTCTCAACTTTAGCCATGCTAAACTCTTTTTTGAAGAGTTTCATACAAAGTAGTTGCAGCTGTAGTTGGTAAACTTCGCTATATTTGCAGTGTGCATATGCTATAAGATTGTGAGTGGTAAGTTGTACCCCTGTCTCGGCATATATATTATATACTTATTCTATCTGGCTACAGGACGAAAAAACACCAGTCCGTCAATGAGCCGGGAGAGGAGCCGTATATCTGGTTCTATAAGCAACTTTTTATCTGTAAGAAATTCATGTCTTTGGCCACTCCAAATATCTACAAGATTAAATCGAGAATAATATTTTGTGCAGCTGAAGTAGGCAACCGATTAGCTTAGCTCAGTAGGAGGATTAGAAACAGTGGGAAAATATTGGGGGTTTAGAGGCATTGAAATGCAGAATTTGTTTCACCTTTGAGCAGAGCTATGGAGCTGCTCACTCCACCTTCTGCTCAGGACACAGAAGTTGTTCATATTGTCACTGCTCGTAGAAATGGCAGTTTCTGAGGATCAGGAATCCTGGTGGTAAGTGGACTCAACTTTTCTAGTCCACTCAAAGTGAATAATAGAGTGCTTCTATATGCCACATGTTTTCAATCACACATACTTTTCCAAATTGAACCGAAATGGCAATCTAGGGTCAGAGTTTAGCCCGAGGAAACTGTAACCTTAGCCACTGCCTGGCCTGTGTCTTGGCTCAGGTAGTGCAAGTACTTTACATCTGTAATAGTTCCTCCCAGAGCACTTTGGGAATCTCGCTGGAGCTGCTCTAACGCATGCTCAGTGTTCCTTCAGTGCTTGGACACATCACGTTAGCAAAAGAGGAGGCAGCAGTGGTCCACATACATCTTATCGAAGTCCTTCAGTAGCACCGTGCACCTGTGGCTCTAGCTTGGCTGGTACAGTAGATGAAGGTGCAGCGGAGGAGTCAGCCTGGTCAGCAGGGAGGGAACGGTTGTTGGGGTATCTCAAGCCATGGCTGAGGGGCCAGGGGCGGGAGTGGGTTGAGAGCCTTACTGTGAGAAGAGAGCAGGGGTTCTTTTCCTGTACCCGTCTCTGCATTTGTTCCAGCTCCTCTCTCAGCTTATTAACTAGCTGGTGTTTTCGTCCTCTAGGGCATAGGTGGTCTTGCTGAAGTTCTCAATGCTCCTTTTAATGCCTGTCTTTCATCTACTGAAGGTTTTTCACAGCCGGCAGATGTTACAGATTTCTCTGGGCATGGCTGCATCAATTTGCATGAATTTAGTGTAACCCATTTCCTGTGAAGACAGGCTTTGTTGCATTTTTCAGTCAAGGCGGCAGTCTCCTCTCTCCACTGTGTCTGTTGGGTCATTACGCTCTGGTTCTCTGGTTAGTCTGGGTCTGGTTCCTGACAACTTCTCTTTTCAGCCGGTGGAACATCTTTTGAAAACAAGTTGAGACTGCAGCAGCACAGTTACTTTGGTTTTATGGTGAGGGTCAACATAGGGTCCTCAGTGCTGAGGCTCTCACTCTGTGACTAGGACTCATTCCAACTTTTGAGGTATGCTGGTAGTTATTACAGACAATTTTTCTGCCACACATGGGGGTGTTTGGTATGGGATAGTTTTTGTTTTGTTTTTGCCATCTAGGAGGAAATCTTTGTGTTTGCATTTTACAACTTTAGCTTATATATTTAACCTATTTTTCTACAGAAAAAGTCTGTTTTCCAAATCAGGAATAAAAGACTTGCCAGTCTTCTTTTGTTCTTGTTGAGAGGAGGCCACAGAGGCAGATCTGAGGTCTTCGTAGCTTTTAGTTCACCCTCTGAGATGAAATTCATGGGAGCTAATTATTGTCGCACAAGAACAGTCTCTCTCTTATTCTCCATTTTCACCTTATTAACTGTCTTTACAAAGATAGATAATCAACTTAAAAGAAAGAATATGACCAACACAAGATTAAAAGACCTGCATTTTATTATGCAAGACAACTGAGCACAGTGGAATAATGGGTTTAAGGGCTCTTTAATACTGACTGGACTCTGGACACAGGATTAGTTGACAAAAAATAGCAATTTGATTTTTATTTCTTTCATAAAAGTACTGTCACGTAGCTTTATACATTTCCAAAAAATAAATAATTCAATATCTTGTGTATAAAAAAATCTGTTTCTATAACATATCTTCAGACCACAGACAACAACATCCGTGTGTTTGCAGTTATCATCTTTCTGTTGTTGCCAGTCAGCTGTAGTAAATATCTCTTCATCTTTACAATAAAGAATCTTTGAATACACCTTAAAATGCTCTTATGGTTACAAAAAGACAACCATACGGTTACATATGATTGATAAAGTATAATTAAAATACACTTACTGCATTTACAGATATACAACAATATTTATCTTTCATCTGTTATATCATTACAGAGCTTCTTTTGTTTAGCCTCCTGAAACTTATAAAAGCTGCTCAACCCAATGCTGTATATATATCATAATAATTTAACATCATCATTCTCCCTCCTACAGAGTGACACAATTGGACTTGCAAGGCTTGAACGTATATCATATGTGACATTAGGCATGAGCACAGCATTACATGCATTCTTGGGTGAAACTCTAAAAAATGTATGAAACAAGTACCGGAAGATTAGTGAAACATGTCATTGTTGAATTCATATGGAACAAACATTGAAAATTGTATTTCTACCTCACAAGTCAGTCATTCAAACGCTTCTCTATGTGTTATTACTAAATCCTTCCTGTGCCTTACCCAGACATCTTTGCTCTGCATGCATGTGCCGGCCATGAACCATCAGCCATAATCAGATTATTACTCCACCTTCATCATCATCGATAATCACGTGAGGAATGTAAAATCCATGTGAGGAATGTAAAACAAAATGACATTTCAATCAAGTAACAAGAAAAGATCAAGGGTGCATTCCAACCCAGTTACAGAAGTCCTTCAGGTGATCTGTTGATCCTCTCAGCAGCCGCACTGAACAATGGCTGAGAAGTGAATTTCCTAACTTCCTAATCCAGGGATCTGAATCAAGAGATATATTAAAGGTGTGAAAGTGATTAAACTGCCGTTCACATTTTTTAAAGTTGCCAACTCAACCATGACAAAACAGGTCCACAACTTTTTTAACCCAGCTGTCACTCATTGGCCACCGGCGCATTAGGTCATTGAGTTCGTGTCTGGTTTTGTTCAACTCCCTGATGCTGAATATGGGTGAAACATACATGACCTGCAGGAGAGTTTTCCTTTCACACCTGCACAACACAGGAGGTTCTCTGCACAGACTCTCTGTTCCATTAATTCTGCTGCGGAGATCGCATGATTTTCTTTACAACGCACAGACATCTGCGTCGGCTCTTATCACCACAAACTCTCTCGATATCACATGCACCTCCTGCAGGGTTCAGTGCACGTCTGAGAGCAGCTCAAGAGTTTAAAGACTCAATATTCAGCCAAAACTTTTAAGTGAATAAGTGAAGTATTAGCGACAGCCAGTTAGCAGCCGGAAAATGTCTCGTTTTTCATTGTGGATGAGGTTAAACTTTAAATATACAGACTATTGAGCATTGTGGCTCACTTAAATTGAAGAAGGAATGTGCCCTCAGATCAACTTTCTATTTTTTTTCATTAAATTTTGAAAGTCTTCCAAAGTTCCTGCCACATGCACACAGGTTTTGGATGTAGGTGTTTTCTGTGGTTCGACCTGTAAGTCCAACTGTACGTGATAAAAAAATCATTGTTAGTTCACTTATGTTTTAGATTTAAAAAAAAAAAGTATAGGTTTGATTATATTGTTAAATTCTGAATTTGAAATATCAAGGGTCACCTCTTTAAGCTTTGCCCGGAAGACAAATCTACTCTAGTAGCAGGATCTACAACAGTTCTATAGTAAATATGAAATTGCACGGCTTGGAGGAAGGTGATCGTAAGTTTGTAGTTTTGTCTGGGTTCAGCTGTCACTCATGCCAGATAAACACATAGCAATAAATACATTTTGACAGTTTCTGATTATGCAGTTTGGGTCTATGGTACACTGGTAGAATAACACTTTAAATGAAGGCTGTAGGTTAAGAAATGCAATGTCCACATTTGAAGAAGGAAGAGAAAACAGTAGTTTTCAGATTGCCTTAAGGTTTGAAGTTCAGTTCACATACGCCGCTTTCACCCTCGTGATGTGATGTTTGCAAGAGGCGAACATAGAAGAGAAGTCTGTCCCAGGTACAAACTTGTGTGTTTTTGAATCCAGTAACAATCCAACGTGTCGTCTCTCTTGTTGCTTCTTGCCGGGTCTCTGAGTTGGACCATCCAGGCCCACGGGGGCACATCACAGGCATTTTTTTTTGGGTGGGGTGGGGGGGGGGCAGAGATTTGTCAAAGCCACAGTGATGTCCTCAGTCCAGGAGAAGTTAACCCATCACTGAATGGGATTCAGAAGCCTGTGCTGTACTCCCCTTCTTAAATAATCCACTTTAGGAGAGAGTGTATCTAATATATTGATCATACATCAGTTTAGTCCTTCTGTGTGAACATGAATAATTCTCTTCCAAAGCTAGAAACCCAAATTCTACAGCATCCGTCTGACAAAAAACACTTTGGGCTTCCTCAGCGACAAAAGAGTTGGAAGGAGTTGGAGACTTGACTCCAAAATGAGCTTTATGTAAAGTAGAGAGTCCATATGCTCATAAAATAATATGAATACTGTAAATGTGCCTATTATTTCAGTCTGCTTTGATTTATGGAGCATCTCCATTGTATCATCAACACAATCTAGGCTCTTTCCTGGATATTGAGAAAGACTTATTCATGTTCACAGGAATCAGGACTGAACTGTCTTGTTCCACTGTGGGTTGTCCTTTTACCCTCAACAGCTTAATGGAGACAACGATAATAATTGCGAGTCAGTATCAACGGGGCCTTCACCCCACTCGACTCCTCTCAGCTCTCTTCTTTCTTCCTGCCTTTCTTCCGATGGAAAACACCACAGTCTGTGAAATAGACAAGATGAGAATCCATTAAACAATAATCTGTCAAACAACTGACACTGGGTCAAGGAACATGATTGGCTGCTCGTATGCTACAGTTAGCAGGTGATTACCATACTTGTTGAAAATCTTTTTTTTTTAATTTTCCAATTAACACTATAACTCATGTAAATCATGAAATTATTATTAGATTTACAGTGTAAAAATATAACAGTAAAAACATAACTTAGAACAATTACACCACACCTTCAAGTTAAAAAGTATTTTAATTATCTCAAGAGGGATAATTAACCTGAGACTCAAGACCCCACAGGCACATTCAAGTCAGTAGTTAGGGAATTTTTCGAGTTCTAAACTGAACTGTGGATTTGGAGAATCATTACACCATTAAACTAGCTGAACTCAAAACGTGCAGCAACTTGTAGTTTCTTGTTGTAGCATTTATTTATTTCATTTCGTTCATTTATATAAATGTGAATGAAAGGTCTTAAGAATCCTGTTGTTGGTCAACACTCAAACTGAACTGTTGACAGACGTGAATCCCTTTCCCACAATCAGCGGCAGTGATAAACCACACCAGTAGCAACGTGTTCCCTCTGTGTACCTGGATTCTGTCTGTGTCTAACTTTCTCCTCTTCTTCAGACCACCTCTGTATAAACCTGTCGTATTCTTATCAAATCTCAGATTCCTAACAATGTTTGTGGTGTTGGCACAGAGCCTCAGAGTCCTCCCACACAAACCACACACGACTGACTTTCTGATCAGATATCACCATTGATGATCTGTTCAGCTGTGCACCACTGGCAGACGTGCAGTTCGCATGACAAGAGGAAGGAGAAGAAGTTCTTATCGGAGCAGAACATATGAAGGGGTGAGGCGGGGGCATGTTTATATTTGTCACAGATCGGGTTCACACCTTCCAAGATGTTTTGCTCGGAAATACGAGCCTTATTTACTATTTGGAACTGTAAAAGTGCACATATACAAAGGAGGAATGTATCTTGCTTAAGGCCAAGTCCCAAATGTCCTCTGAAAGGCGAAAATCTAGGAGAGTAAAGAGTAAAAAAACATACAATTAAATGTGCTGTTCAATACCCCGCCTCCAAACCCTATATATGCCGTTTAGTGAGGATAGCAATGGTGAGCATTCCTTACAGGGGCTGCAATGTAGCTCAAAGGCACTGGAATACTGACCATTTGTGAAAACAGACACTGAAGGAGATAAGAACCAAACCCACATCTCCCCAACCTAATCTGAAAGGTTAAAGAGGGCTTTGGCATGTCACTCAAACGTGGTCTTCCTCCTAAAAGAGACAACAAGCTCCCCTGAAGAAAAAAAGGAGCAGGAACTAAACCAACACAAGCCTGAGGACAGGAAGACTCGTATTTCTCCAAGGGTCCCTTATTCAAAAAGGCCAAGATTGTTGATTAGTAGGAGAGCAACTTCCAAGAGTGAGGGGGCTGTTTCAGAGCACAGAGCTCGTGACTAACAAACTATATTAAACCTGCTTCCCTCTGCGATCGGCAAGTGTTGGATATATTTTTAGATTCGGGGCCGGCTCTAATGTACGTCATGTAAAATACTTTTATGCATTTGAGGTGAATAACGCACCAAAAACGTCACAACAGATTGAAAAGAAGGCTTGTTAAATTTGAATTCTAAACTCTTATCCCAGTCCACTGTGCTATTCTACAACACATTTGGTCCATTCCCATGATTCCGTAATGTGCTGGAACAATTGGAACAATTGGAAATCGTTCATGGAGCCAGATGTGAAAATGACTCTGGTATCGGCTCGTTCAATGATATGTGTGCATGTGTCTATCTGGAATTTAAACCCGGTGATAAATGTGTTTTCGTAGGTCTGCAGATAAAAATCAGTATCACTTGTAAATCTCCAAGATTTATCCAAACGTATCTAAAACACCAAAGGCTTGGCTTTGTCAGAGAAGACACTTACTAACGTAGTCGTGCTCAGAAACATAAGTTATTGGTGCGTACTGTCCTGGCAGACAGAAGAATTTGAAACCGATGTTTAGGATTAAAAGATTCTACTTGTAGCCCTCAGTGTTACATTTCCTCAGTTATACTCACAGTCCTGCGGCGCTTCTTTGCTGGCGAAGCACTCGCCGAAGAGGCAGTACATGGTTTGGCAGAAGTTGTCTAGGAGGGATTTTGGAGAAGTGAATCGCCAGCTGGACTCCGGCACTCTTTCAGGCTCTTCTGTTAAACTATCCCAAATGTCCTGGATTTTCTCTGGAAGCTCTTTCTGGAACACCTGGACACACATGAGCCATTACTGTCAATGTGATAAGATGAAATGCTTTTTGTAAATGTTGTTGAGGTGAGTCAGGAAACTGAGCAACTGAGTCGATTGAGATGTATAGAAGAGATACTCGGAGGTGGAGGCACACCTCTCAACTTTGCATGTACTGTATATATTTAACAAGTTAATTAAGATTTTGAGACGCCACAAGAAAGGACATATTAGGATCAAATGCAAAACATCTGATCTGATCTGTCTCTGCTGACATCAAACTCCCCGTCTGCTTCAACCTCATGGCAAAGTGTGACGATGCCTGATTAAAAAATCCGTAAGTAAATAGATCTGAATTCAAATTGTCCAATTATCTTTGTCTGGCATTAAGAAACTGGCCTTGAAGATGTTTTTATTGCTGCGACCTCTGTCCTGAAACCACTTAACTCGGAGTTCAGAGACTTATTCATACTGAAAAAATGCACTGGAACATTAGATTTTTGATCAAGTGAAGATGAGTCACTATCAGAGACAAAAACAGCGTCCCAGTCCTCGTTACCCGGCAAAATATCCCTCTTACGCACTTCACTCAATGATCAATGAGTTTAGTAAATTCACCTTCAATTAACTGTTTCGGGTCATAAATAGCTGCTAATGATAACGGCATTCATTCCCCCATATTGATAAATAGAATCAATGTGATATCCATCTGCCACCAAATATCTTCAGACCCTTACAGTCTGGGGGAAGTTGATTCACTTATTGAATTGCTTCATTTGCAGAGGAAGTGAATATAGCTGCGGTACAGATATGTGACCTCTGCCTTACCTCGGCCGGATGCGACTCTACAAAGACTCCCTCGGCATCCCTGAACCGTCGTTCCAACTCAGCAGTGTACGGCCGCGAGGGATGTCTCTCTGCCATAACCCGGATGATCTGAAATTTAAATTTGTCTTTAGGTTACTAAATAAAAACATATAAACATATAAATGACACTGTAAAGAAATCCAAAGTATCTTGTTTCTAATATTTTTAGAAATCTTTGTATGTGGCGTGCATATCTCAAGAACCATTCAGCTTCTGGGCTTCACACTTGGAATACATGTTGTTAAAGGCCTAAGAAAATTTCAGTGTTAATACGATTGCTCTGTAGCAGCAGCAGCTGGGACTCATCAACGTGACTGAAGTCCATCAAAGCCTGTTCGCGACGACGAGCGACGACTGATTCTCCAGTTCAGGGTTCTGAGCCGAGAAACAAAAAACTGCAGCCAGCATCACCACAGACCCATTCCAAACAGTGGGCACAAAAAACACAGCTTTCTCACACTGTAACGGTTTAGTTATGAGAAACTTTTAATCATACAAAGCAAAATCCATTCAAAGTCAAAAGAGGCCCACTGGCCACAGCTACTATTCACCCCCACCTCACAGCAGCTGCTTCCCACGACAGGGAAAGACCTGGACCCTCATGAGGGACAAGCACTAATCTGCAGCACGCAGGGCCACGCTCTCATGCTGCAGATCTGTAGGTAAAAGGTGGGCCATGTTTTCAGGCTAACGCAGTCACGTAGCTGAGCTGAGAGAAACACTTGTTAAGTGCAGCTTCTCTTCCATATTTCACATTCAGAATAACCAATAGGAAGCAATTCATAACCTTAAAATGAATAACGTTGTACTCTTTGGAATTTCTGCTGCATCCAACATGTAATGAAGTCGATATTTTTAGCTTTTTTGGGTTGATTTCATTACAGTCGGTGGTCAGCCTCTAAGTGTATTACTGTCAACAGAGACCGGTGTGTTGCAACCGACTGCGAAGAACCATGAGACTCACTTAGCTCTAAATTAGTCAGTATTAGGTTAAGTGAGCATCAACTGAGGTTTAAGGGTGTTGCCATTTTGAATAACCGGTGGTAATTTGCAATTAGTGCCAGCTTAATGCACAGGATTACAGGGGCCTGGGCCCCCCACCCCGAGGTCACAGAGGACTCAACAGAGAGCTGCAGGGGGGAAGGCTCACCTTGTTAGGTTTCTCAGCAGCTTAAGTGAATGGCACATGCTAGTTAAGTTTTCACCTGCAGGCAAAAAGCATGTGCAGGTGAGGAGGGTGTTGCAGGCTTTTTGAACTTGTTGCTAAACATAAGCTCCTTAGGCGTCGTGCTGCCAGGGGTCAGTGAAACAACATCATACCACTTTTTCCCTCTTTATCAGGGAATTCATGTGCGTTAAGTAAGTGTCTGATGATTAAATCGTCCCTGAAGCATGTGTCATGCAAGATAACTTTCCACCTCAGCTGGCAGCTCCCGGTTAGCTTAGCTCGATATCTGTCTGCACTGTAATGTATCCTCAGAATGGATGTTTCGAAATGCAGTGGCGCAGGAGAAGGTAAATGAACTCAGTCGGTGCCGCAGTAATTCCAGCTGACTTCATCTTTGTTATTGGCTAATGTTACTCTGCTAGATGTTTGGCCGACGGACGTGGAATATTCTCAACATGATAACATACACACAGAGAACATATATGTTCTTCCTCTTACACATTTGATTTCACTGAACCTTTCTAAACACCCAAGGACACCTAACAATACATCATGGATAAAAACATTAGAATCATATCAGCAGACGCAGGCACCCATCAATATGAGATATGTGACCCAAGAATAGTTTGAAGTAAAACCAAGGAAACCTATGAAAATAATTATCAACATGTAAAATTACTTCTCTGCTTTGGTGGATGTAAGTTGAAAGCTTGTTTGAACTACAATGACCCAATTTAACATGAGCTCCTCCCTCTCTCTTTCTGTTCGAGTGCACAGAGACGATCGAGGAGCTGTAAAACAAAAAGTTTTTTACTGAGCGACGTAATTCTACTGACCGAGTTGTAATGAAAGGAACCGCAGCATTTTATGACATCATTAATACTTCAGGACTTTGATGTCCGAGCGGAGTCACTGTAGACTGAGTTCAGTTCTCTCATGACGTGATGTGTTTGGCATTTATCCACATAGATTTAACCGACTCTACACGTTCCCCAGTAACTCTGCGTTTCCATTAAAGAGAGCTGTGGGCTCAACAAGCACTGGAGCTCGAGGTCACCAGTCAGTCACAAGTCTCTCTGAGAAACCACACGCAGATTCTCAATATTACATGAGTAGTTGGTTAAAACGTTTTACTTGTAGGTAAAACAATAAATTTACATTAAATGCAATATTAATTAACAATTTATCACTTGGCTTTCACACATATTGTTTCACGTTTGAGGATCTTGGTATTTTAGGGATCTCAGATAACGTTTAGTTTCCAGGATAAACAATGCAGAAAAGATATTTGAGGTTATAAGAGTTTAAATTTTTTATTAAAATGAAATGTGTTTGTATAAAATTATTCAAGTTAATTAATTCAAGTTCTATATACTTGGTTGCATTTGGGTATTCTTGTTTATTTACAACTATTCACCGGCAATGTTACATTTACAAAAATCCATATCGTTCTGGCTCTAGCATATTGTAAAGATGGAAATTAATACTGACAGTCACTGAACAGCATTTGATTTGTGCTGCACAGTGAATGGACATCATCCAGCTGTTTGTATTTTATGACCCTCAATCAACCTCAATTACATTTTTAAAGCTCATCCCATGCACTGCTGACATTTAAAGCTTAATGACTGTTGACAGCGGCTAATGTGTCTTCTAGCATGTTGGTTATGAATGATGACAAAGAGACACTGTCCTCGTACTTGGTGTTTTGAAGTGGCCCTTATCTCAAAGGAAAAAGCTTTTTCCGTACCCTTTTTAACACTCCTTGGTTGACCTGGAACCACAGCCTCTGGAGAACCAGCTCATCCAATCCCTCCACCTGTAACTTCTGACGAGGAGAGGGGAGGAGAGGAGGAGAGGAGGAAGGAAGAGGAGAGGAGGAGAGCATGTTAGGATGATGATGTTTAAAGTGAAATCATTGACAGTTCAGGTTCAGTTAGAAGTGTAATAGGCTGATGTCTCCAGATCTGCAGATTAATGGAGGCCAAAGGCTTCAAGTCAAGTCTTTGTGAGACTAGCAGCATGTCCTCTGGCAGGAAACGGAAGAGATTTAATAAATCAAGACTCAGAGAGAAAAGCTTGTCATATTTGTACCAATCTGCTGACGTTTGACAGTTTGAAGACTTCCCTCTGATGAACCCTGATGGTGTAGTTGATGGGGAAGTTGTGCTTCTGCAACACAGATAAAAAAGAAACAAGAGAGAAATTACAAATACATTCACGTTCTATACATCAAATGATCAATTTGCACACTTAAAAATACACTTATGTTTTTAAATGAGTTGGAACATTTACTATTTCTTTCATATCCCACAATAGGCAGGGGGAAATACAATTTAAAGTTTGTAATCTTAAGTTTTATTACAGTATTTTATTTGTATATACACGATGTCTGATTATAATTGCTGAAAGCATTTTATTGGAGTTTACTTGACAAGGAATGTATTCAGTCTTTATCAAGAGTGAAGACCCAACTGAGGTTTTATTGATGTTATCAGTTATTTTTACTTGGGCTCTGAAACCACAAATATGGAAAACCCCAAATAGTTGAGTTTTAAAAACTTTTACCAGGCTGAAGTTTAATTTAAGTCACTATGAAGTGAATCTGACCCACATTTAGGAATGAGTCAGGCAGGGGCGTATCCAGGGGTGGGGGCCAAGGGGCACCGGCCCCAGGTGCAAACTGATTAGCTGCTGAAGTCACGGACAAAAAATATCTTAGTGCATTCTTTAATTGACCGAGTCCTCCTTTAAATCCAATTGAAATGGAAAACAATGTTTCTAATGATGTCGTAAAGTCTTTTATTGTTGTAACTGTTTTTCTTATTGTGGTTTTCTATTGTCCACAGATTAAGAAATGAAGAATCATCCTACTGTTTGTCTTTTGGGGGTCAGGAGTGATACTCGCTCGTTCTTTGAGCTATGTTTTCTCTGGTGAGGTGGGTGTGGCACAGCTCTAACCCGATCAAGACTCAAGATTCAATTGACATAATGAAACACAATTGTATAATTAGGTTACAGGTGCTGTCCCAGAATGCATTTGAACAAGTTTGCTATGTCTTGCTGGACGTGCCCCAGGTGAAGAGGTGGATGTGGAGAAGTCTGGGGGTATCTCCCAGGCAGGTGGAGCACGACTACAGCCCAAGAAACAGGCCAGAGACAGAGGTCATGACAACTGACCACGGACTTTTCCAGGAAATATTTTTTACGATCATGTCATCATTCACTCACCATGTACCGTCGCCTGTGGCTGAGGCTGTCGTTGAGCGTCCTTAAGGGCGTGCACATGCTGGCTGGTGTCAGGGCCGTCAGAACAGGTTCAAGCAGACACAGGCCTACGGAGACAAGGGCAACAGATCATAAGATGAACTGTCTTTTTTTCAGCAAAGCGTAAACTGCTGTGCACGTGCCAGGACTCAGAGTGTGTGCTTCCAGTCTACATATGGGCTGGGTCTGTCTTTGTTCTACACTCTGGCTACGAAACATAGAGACATATTTTACTCGACTTGTTTGGCCAAACCGCCGTATACGGCCTGTCTCAGTAAATCAGTGTTGTGTGCCTAATGACAAGAAAGTGCCCCCTGGTGGCTGGCCACAGTACAGGTCATAATCTGGCTGCCTCATGGAGCAAAGAACAAAATCTTACACATTTTACATTTTATAGTCTCGGTCCTCAGCCCATTTACACCTGGACACACTGCCCAACTTTTCTTATGACGTGTTTTAACAACACTAGGAGGTTCTTCTATCTATCAATAGTCAAGTGAGACAAAGGTAGAATTAGGATTTATTTTCTTTACATATTATATATATATTATATATACATTATAGATAAGCCTTAACCCTGGTTAAACGCTCCAGTAAAACACACACAGGGATCAGATGTCCAGTAAGCTTCACGATAATCAGTCTAGCGAGTCTTTGTTTTGACAAATGTCTGACATGTTTTCTGCGTCAGTCAGTCATGTGTCAGTGCTTCAGTCACGCGCACTAATTCTTCATGGCGGCTTCTTATGTATGAAAGTCTTGGCCTGTCAATTCATCCAGCTCTTTGACTTTAACTAATGTTTCCACCCTCACTTCTGTTAACCAGGATCATTGGGATTCATACTTACTCCCCACCCCACCTGCTCAATCTTTGGCCCTGCAGTAATCCTTCACATTTTGAGTGATCTCACTTGGCGCCACACAAAACAACTTTGGTAAAACATGACAAGGAGAGAACGGATTAGAACTGCAATTCTCTCATCATCCCAAAGCCACCTGACAGTAAAACAGTGTTTATATTGTCCCCAAAAGGTTTCTCTGGTTGCACAATTCTCAGTCGGCTGAAGTAAGTGCAGCGTGTTGGTTCCCTTCTCGCTCTCATTCCTTTTGAGCAATTACTCTCTGACAGCTGACTTTTCACCTCTCAGTCTTCTTCGAGCGCATCATCAGTGACTGACGTAACTCCTGGCGGTGTGAAAGAATTCCTCTCCGGTTCACATGGGACTGGCCTTCAGCACTGCCACATAGACACCGGGCCTTAACTTGTTATTGTCTTTTTACCCGGGTGCACATGAAAGCGTGCTGCATGCGAGATAACGCTAATAGCTAATAACTAGCACACACTTGTCACAAATGTATTTCCTCTGCAGCAGCAGAGCACGTTACACCAGCTTCTCCAGAAACTCTTGCAGGTCAGGTGAAACCTTTACCAGATTCTACATAAGTAGTGATCACTTTAATTTCAAGGAACAGTTCATGTTTTGATAACTGGAACGCCCACACCACATTTAAATTCACTAGACACAGACTTCTGCTTGGATTTCATCTCAATATCCTTATGAATTATTCTTTAGCAAATCAATGTTAATATTGAAAAATCTCTAAGACCTAGCTATGTTAAAGAAAGTGACAAAAATCTGACCCATAACACATCCTTCCACCAAGTTTCATGATTATCCCTCCAGTGGATCTTTTCATATAACGAAACACACGCAGACGAAAGCAAACCGTGTCTGGCTGAGGTAATAATTGCACAATTGCCACATTCAACAACACAAGAGCAGTGAGAATCTCATATTTTCACACCATTGGTGGTAAATTCTGCAAAAACAAATGTTTTGCTTCAATATTTGAATAGGATATTAAAAACCACCTCCACTCCATCTTCTATAAGAACAACCTTATGTCTCCTTGCATGCGTCTGTGTGTTGTGCGATGCCTCACACGAGCCCACATGTTGCTGACAGTCTGGGGTGGGCGCCTATTAACTCATAGGTAGGAGAGTAGTAAGAGCCGCTGCACCAACTGGAAACCTTCGTCCGTGTGGAGAACAGAAAATGACAGATGGAGCAAGCAAAAGCTCAATATGCTCAATTGTTTGGTTTTTATTCACAGCTGCATTAATTCCACTAAATCCAAACCATTTGTGCAGATGAGCAGCTTGTTATGATTCTTTAAATCATCGTGACTCACATTACATTACAAGGTAATGACCGGCCCCTCGTACAGCTGTATTGATCCTTCTCTGTTAGTTTGTAAACGTTGATGGATGTGTGTATGAGTCTGTGCTGGCTGTCAAAGGACTGCACATGTGAAAGGTTCAGAGAGGCTGTTCATGCCTCATAAAATGTGTTTCTGCATCTGATCGTGCGTGCCGGCACATGTTGCTTCACATGCAAATGCTTGTAACTGTGTGTGAATCTGTGTGTGTGTGAAGGGGGAAGAGAACAACAGAGAGAGAGAGACTGAATGGACTAATTTGCACTGATTGTTTTTATTTTTTAAATGTTCTTGGCAATGACGCCATGGTTTTTATAGTGTTTCAGTCTGTTGAATCAGTTTGCACCACACACAAACACACAACTGGGAGCGATTCATTGGTCAAACTGTTTTTAGTGCTGCAGTTAAAAACGCCATAATATATAATATACAATATAAGATAAGATAAGATAAGATAATCCTTTATTAGTCCCACAATGGGGAAATTTGCAATATTACAGCAGCAAGAGTTAAAAGAGGCATCAGTGAGTAACAATAAGTAACATTAGTGTAAGGAAATATGGAAAATATAGAAACATATGTAAGGAATATGTATGCAAACCATTTTAATTGAACTTTACCCAGTTAGCGGTAGCCTGCAAATTAATGGCCTCCATTAACTCCAATGATTATCACCAAGCAGAACAATGAGCCTTATTTTGAACACTGTCTCTCCATCCACTTTTGTTGTGGACACACAATGTTATCACACAGAAGGAAATGTCCCCTGCTGATATGATCTGTGCCTCGTTCAGTGAGAAAAAAGTAAGTGTCTCCACAATGAAAAGCCTGATTGACCCTTGAGGGGTTTTAGCTTCTGTCAGTACCCAAGTGGGAACATTCCTCAAATATCTTTCATCTGGAGAACAAGTGGGACTCACCTATGCCTCTGGCCCTGTTTGAGTGATGGATGACTGGAGTCACTGTTGGTGGTTCAGGATCTGTCTGTTCTGAGGCCACTGACACGTTCAGTAGTTACAAGTAGCACAACTTAGATTATATATTATAATATCCGGTAAAGGCTTTTACCTCTGATACTTAAAGTGTATTTTGCTGAGAATAGTCGTTATTTAACTGAAACCTTAACTGCTTGTTGCACTTGGGCTGAACGAAACCAACATCAACATCAACAATGACCTCTGGGTGGAATCCAGAGTTTGTCTTTTTCACACATGCACAACACATCGGGAGGTTTTCTGCACAGACGCTTTCACAACAGCATCGAATCCTCCGCATGTATCAGGCGAGAGGTGGAGCAGACAGAGGCAGGAAGTGATGTTGATGGTCCGTGTTCACCAAAAATATTCTGTGGCGTTAATCAATATAAACACAAATCCACATCCAGTTTCTCCCCAGCAGGAAATTAAACGGAGCGTAGTCTAATGGCTGGAGGTAAACTCCTGTGATTCACAGAAAACCCACAGAAAACTTTTAGAATGAGGTAAAAAATCATTGTTACGTGTTTTTTTTTTTCTCCATCTGTGCTTTCATTTGTCTTTAAGCACTTCGCTGCACTAATGTGTTCGGTGGCGTCTGCTGCAGTGAAGCGATAAGAACAAATGGAGAGTAATGGCCCCATTGTCAGGGTTCTAACCCTAATGAGGCTGTTGTAGGTGAGACGACGGAGCCTGCCAGGACCGGCTTGCTTAGACTCCACAATCAGATAACTGAGGGTGATTTATTACCTTACGAACCTTACAAACATCACTGCTGTTTGGAAAAAAAACGGCGGTGGGCACCGAACCCCCAACTGCTCTATGGGCGCAGTATAATGTGTTGTGTGTGTGTGTGTGTGTGATCTGAGGGAGAGCAAGGTAAAGTAACTTACTGTGTGGACAACATGACAATAAAAAGTAATCTTCATCGCATCGTGCGTCCTTCTACACAACAGCGATCGTCTCTGGCCTGCAGTTGTGTAAAATCTCCTCATGCTTCCACAAGTCTTATCATGCTTCTGGCAAACACTGGGGTGAAGACAAGGACTTCAACTTCAAAGAATCCAGATTGGTGGCCGACACAGTGTGTCCTCAAACAACCCCATCAATCCTGTGAACAGCTCACAACGATCACTTTTATCTGGCAGTCGTTTTCGAACATTTACCCTCCATCATCTGCATGGATGCACAGCTGGGCTCCACCACCGGGACCGCTCCGGAGAAAGGGAAACATGCTAGACCGGTCGTCACGGTATCACAAATAAGTAAAGGGGTTCACGTAACGGGCAGATTAGTTTGCATGTCTTCGGACTGTGGGAGGAACGATTTGTGAACACAGGAGGATTTCAAACATGAGAACCGTCCAGTCACATCTGGACAGAGGCTTCTTGCTACGAGAATTTGATTTAAGTACTAAAACCTTGACTACTCACTACTCGATTTGCTTTTGCACACAAACCAAGAGAGTGGGTCCCACTCACCAGGTCAACTTTAGCCTGAGGTGGGAGTGGCCACGACTGAACAGTGGTTTTATCAGATTGTTTTGTTTTATTGTCGTTGAACTTCCAAGAAAAAAAGTTGAAATGTTAAAACCAATATTTCTTGAGGATGTGAGGACAATGCATTTTTAAAAGTGACAAAACAATGAGGCTGCATATTTGCTTCATATTCCCCCCGCGCGGATGGATCAGATGAGTGGAGATGGGCCAAACCGAAATGAAAAACACATTGATTCCACTAGTGGACGGTTGCATTTTTTTGAAAGGAAAAAGGACGGGATGAATGTTACGACCACAGATAAGATGAAGTGCCGGGATCCCCCCTGACACACTCCGTGTGTCTGAATCCCACAAGCTGTCAGTTGTCCCTTCATC